GCGGGCCTCTCACTGCTGTGGCCTCTCCCGTTGCAGAGCACAGGCTCCGGACGCGCAGGCTCAGCGGCCACAGCTCACGAGCCCAGCCGCTCCGCGGCATGTGGGATCCTCCCGGACCGGGGCACGAACCCGCGTCCTCTGCATCGGAAGGCAGACTCCCAACCACTGCGCCACCAGGGAAGCCCTCGTGTATGTGTTTTTAGCCAGGTCACTTAGAAAACGGTTTCTACCTTTGAAACATTCGCCGTCTGCAGCAAACTTCGCAATTAACTTCAAGGTTGAAATCTTCAATATGATTTCCCTTCAGTGCTCAGAACTGCCTTAGATGATGTGCTCCAGTCCGGGGCAGAATAGACCTTTGATTGAAAAAGAGGGTAAAAGCAAATCTGTTATCTACTTCCTTGACTTTGACCATTCCCTGTGCTGCTAAGTTCGATGCTGCTGCAATCCAGCTTTTCCTGAGTTCTGGTGGACTGCTTGTTGGGCGTTTCCTCTTTGATGTATGCAGGTGCTTGAGATTTTGGAACTCATCCTTTTCTATATCCTGCCTTAAGAGAATGCCAACCAAGCCTGGAACCTGTTCTTATTTCTTCAACTCCTGTAGCCAAATGCTGATCTAGATCTATGTATTATACGTAGTATCTCTTCAGCAACTTTTGCTTCTCTTAATCCCACTACCGCTTGCCATATAGTGTTCAAGCCTCATCATTTCTTGCCTGGATTATCACAGCAGCCTCTTACCTGGTTTCCTTGGTTCAAGTCTTGCTGAAATCAATCACTGCTCCCAGTTAGCTGCGGTCTTGCCAGTGCTATCTCCGTAGTGATAACTTCCACAATAAAAACTGGCTTTGTTATTCCATAAGCTCGTCAGAGAACCTCCAGGCTTCTGTGCATGATTACAAAAGGCTTATCAAATGGCAAAAGCACTGCTTGGTATTTTATGCGTGTTAATTTGTTTGAGCCTCGCAGCATGTGGGGAAGGCACGATTATCTGTCTGCAGATGAGGAAACAGAGGCACAGAAATTAAGTAATTTGCTCAAGCTCAGTAGGTGGTAGAGCTGGGCGTCAATCCTAGCCAGGCTGCAACTAAGCCCCCTGGGCCCTGCTGCCTCTCAGAATACAAAAAGAGTTCACATAAAGTAGTTCATGTGTTTTTGAGTATACGGAGGAGTATACATGTGAACTTTCAGTTCAACGAATTTCTGTAAAGTAAAGCTAATTCCCTTGGTTTAAAATATTATGTTAATATACTGCTTGAATGACTATGAACATAACCTAATGGATAAAGAGCAATATCGTTGGCTTGTAGTCAGTTAGTCCCTGCCTTCTTCTAGGGAGAATGGAATTAGTTAATTTAGTGTCCTATACATTTATGTAACACACACGCACACACGTATTTACAGATATAAAATATACGTCTATGATAAAAAACAGCACTGCTATCAAGAACTCAAAGAATAAATTTCTCTATATCCTGACACGTTACCTGGAAAGTTAAAGAGAATTATTTAAAATCACATTGTTTCTAGACGATGAATCTGCAGTTAGGACTAATGCCTTAAAACTCTCATGCTATGCAAAACCTTCAAATCAGTATTTTTGTGATATAAAGTATAATAAATCTGGTTAGCTTTTATAAATAAGTCAAGCAAATTAAATAGCAAAGATAAAAGAAAAAAAATGTATACCATCATTCCTAATGTATCACTAATGTATCCTGATACTCTCACTACTACTTGGCTTATATACGGCTGAGTTCTAAATAGCACGTTTATAATTATGGGTTAATTATGGTTATTTTACCTATTAATCTGGCTGATGGCTTAATTTCCAGATTATCATCAGCGTGAGGCCATTTCTTCATGAAGCAAATCTTTTCCTCTGGTGTTTCCTTCCTCCATGGAGCAGCCTCAGAGGTGCCTTCCTTCTTTTCTTGTTCATTTTGGCTCTGCTCCAGCTTTACCGTTTGAATCATCTGAGCTTCTCTTTTTCATGTCAAATGCTTGTGGTCATATCTTTGCCTCAAAGAGTCCCAAATACTCAAAGTAAGTAAATACCTTTCAAATACCTCGCTTTAAAATACCATGCTTATTTCGACACAGGAAAATCATATAATATAGTACCAACCACTTTATAATTGCTAAACACAATTTAACATATTTATTATTTTTTGGTAGATATTTGGTAAATTTTTTTTGGTGAAATTGTCACCACTTATTAAAGAAATCTGTCAGTATTTTTTTTTTTGGGATCTGTCTCCTAAAGCAAAGGAAATAAAACCAAAAATAAACAAATAGGACCTAATTAAACTTAAAAGCTTTTGCATAGCAAAGGAAACCATAAACGAAATGAAAAGACAACCTACTGAATGGGAGAAGATATTTGCAAATGATATGGCTGATAAGGGGTTAATATCCAAAATATATAAACAGTTCATATAACTCAACATCAAAAAAAAAAAAAACCTGATTAAAAAATGTGCAGAAGACCTGAATAGACATTTTTCCAAAGAGGAAATGCAGACGGCCAACAGCCACAGGAAAAGATATTCAACACTGCTAATCATGAGGGAAGTGCAAATCAAAACCACAATGCTGTATCACCTCACACCTGTCAGAATGGCCATCATCAAAAAGAACACAAATAACAAATGTCGGCAAGGATGTGGTTGGTAGGAATGTAAATTCCCTACTGTGGAAGACAGTTTGGATGGTCCTTAAAAAACTAAAAATAGAGCTACCATATGATGCTGCAATTCCACTCCTGGGCATATAACTGGAAAAGACGAAAACTCTTAATTCAAAAAGACACATGCACCCTCAATGTTCATAGCAGCATTATTTACAACAGGCAGGACATGGAAGCAACCTAAGTGTCCATCAACAGATGAATGGATAAAGGAGATATATATATATATATATATATATATAGACAGACACACGTATGTGTGTATACACACACACACACACACACACACACACACAATGGAATACTATTCAGCCATGAAAAAGAAAAGAAATCTTGCCATTTGCAACAACATGAATAGACTTGGAGGGTATTATGCCAAGTAAAATAAGTCAGACAGAGAAAGACAAATACTGTATGATATCAGTTATATATGGAATCTAAAAAAATACAACACACTGGTGAATATAACAAAGAAGGAGACTTACTGATATAGAGAATAAACTAATGGTTACCAGTGGGGAGAGGGAAGGGAAGAGGGGCATTGTAGTGGTAGAAGATTAGGAGGTACAAACTATTACATATAAAATAGGCTGCAAGGATATATTGTACAACATGGGGAATATAGCCAATATTTTATAACTTATAACCTTTAAACACTGTGAATCACTATATGGTACACTTGTAACATAATGCTGTACATCAACTGTACTTCAATTGAAAAAAAAGAAAGCTTTATAAGGCAATCAAAAAAAAAAAAGAAATCTGGAAACCTTTAAAGGAGGTAACCCACTAATTTATATAACTTCCTTTGCTTAGATCTGTATTTTTCACTAAAGTTACTTGACTTTTTAGGTGATGGCCAATTTCTTTTCAAGGTTTGAAAAAATACCCAAATCCCACTAGATATGAAGATGCTTTTCTTAGGAAGTTTTCTATGTAATGCATATAATTTGATAACCAAAAGGGCTTTTTGGGTTAGAGTCAGAGTCAGAAAAGGCAAAGAAAGACTCGGTCGCAGCTCTGAATCGTTACAATAAGGCTGATGCATGAAAAAGTGAACGCAGAATTTTTCAAAACCTATTTTGTGTCTGTATCTTCTATCAAGAACACGAATCCTTGAACTGAAAAGGAAAGAATGGACACTAGTAAGAGTTACCTGAAGTCTAGGGTGAAGCACTTGTTTGAGAGTACCGAGCTGTTAACAGTGAGTTCGAGCCTCGTGACGCAGAGGAATTAAACCCCGGGGCACCCATAATTCCAGTTTGGCTTTGAATGCCATCACTTTATCTGCCAACTTGAACACAGTTGTTGTTCTCCCCTGAAGTGACAGATTGAGTTTGTTGAGCAGGTTGAATATGCCACACAAGTAAGCAAGTTTTGTGACCCATTCTGTGCCACTGAAACGTGCTGCCAGTGGTGACTGTTTTTCTAAAAGAAATCTTTGAAGTGGCTCTTGTAACTCAAAAGCTCTGGCCAGTGATCTACCTTTAGAAAGACATCTCACCTCTGTGTATAAGAGAAGACGTGTGAACACTGGGATTTTTGACATGTTTCAAACATTAGCAGAGATTTTGAAAGAGACTAAGCCAGGGCCTTCTTTCTCCCAGCTGGTGCATGATCACCTATCTCAGCTTTCCAAAGACTTTGAGCACTACTTCCCAACCACAAAAGACCCCAAACTGGGAAGGAATGGATCTGCGACCCATCTGTGAATAAGCCAGGTGAATCGACTTTGTCCGTGCTAGAAGAGGATCCACTGCTTGAGATCGCAAATCACGGTGGCCTTAAAAGTATGTTTGAGACAACTTCAAATCTCCATACGTTCTGAATTAAAGTCATGGCGGAATATCCTGATGTTGCCACAAAAGCACTGAAAAGCCTGCTTTCGTTTCCAACATCCTATCTCTGTGAAGCAGGGTTTTCTGCAGTGACGGCGACCAAAACGAGATCACAGAGTAGACTGGACATAAGCAACACACATCGGTGTCACTGTCTCCCATCCCCCCCAAGATGGGACCATCTAGTTGCAGGAAAACAAGCTCAGGGCTCTCACTGATTCTGCATTATGGTGAGTTGTATAATTATTTCATTATATGTTACAATGTAATAATAATAGAAGTGAAGTGCACAATAAATGTAAAAAACAAAAACAAACAAAAAAACCCCGGGGGCACTCAGAGAACCTGTAGAGGCGACTGCTCGGTCACTGTCAGCAAATGGGAGAGATGTCAAAAGCACAAATTCCACAGACTCTAAGGATGCAGTGTTGGCAGAAGGAATCTGGTGTTGGAGAGACCTGGTTTGAAAGCCTGCAGTGCTACTTTCCATCTCTGTGACCCTGGGCCAGGTGTTTAACTTTTATGACACCTTATATCTTCAGAAAAGGAATGACAACACCGACCTAGCAGCAACACCGACCTAACAGCAACACCTACCTAGCAGGGTTGTTGGATTATACAAGATAATAAATGCAAAATGCTAGCACAATGCTTGTATAAGGTAGGTGCTCAATAAATACACATTAATACAGATCAGCATGGTTACTGTAGATCCAGGGGAAGATTCTCCAATGGATCCTTTTGGTTATTTGCAGAAACATGACTGTAGCTACTCTCATTCTCCCTTACCCCCTAGAACACAGTTCACATGACAGGAAATCCTAGTCTCATATTTTTAATCTTCACAGATCTAAGTGCCAACAGATTTCCTCATACATCATATTATGATCTGATGGCTTTCTTATTCTTTGAAAAAAGGATAAAAATTGTGACCGAGAGTTTCCACGATGCCATACTAAAGGACCGAAAGGGTTTTAAATAAACGTAAAAGGAACAAGCAGTGATTACTAGGATGCTACATGGATTTACTAAGAAGAAACCCATCTAACTTGTCTTCTCGGACAGGATTACTAGATTAGGTCTGGGAAGTATGACAGTCGCAGCATAAATGAACTTTCCTAGGCAGAAGCCTAGGTCTTTCTTGATGTTTTTATGATAGTGTGGAAGCAGCAATATGGGCTAGATTAAAAACAGGTTGACTGACCATGCCTCATGGGTCCTGATTATAACCCGTCATGGGAGGTGGTGGTTGGTATGCTCGAAGAGACTGACTGTACTCAGATCTGTCTAGTTCTCATTTTTTCAGTGATTTTCATGAAAATACGGGTGGCATGTTTATCAAAGCTGTAGATGGAATTCACTGTAAATAAAAAATTGTCATGGATGCAAGAAATATAGCAATAAAACAAAATTAGACACAGTTCCTATGCTTATAGGTAACAAACTGGATGACAGAATTAGGAGGTAAAATGACCTCAGCACGCTGTAATAATATAATGAAAAGCAATAAATGACCAGTCCAACTTCTGGGGCAAAGATCTGGCTTAGCAACAAAACCTTTAGAAAAAAAATTAAGATTTCAGTCAACAATATGCTCAATACCTGTCCAATAGTGTGATTCAACTTCCAAAAAAGCTAACATGATTTTAAGCTGAATTAATGGAAGGCGTAGACTCCAGACCAGTAATTCTCATTTTTTTTGTCATCCTAAGTACTAATGAGAAATTATATGAACATTTTCCTGAATCGCTAACTCAGTAACTGTCAAAGCAGGCTTCCGTAAGAGAATATGTCACTCTTCTTGGGGTGAGGGAAAGGGGAAGGGTATGTACCGTGAAGCCACAGTTCCCTGGAGATTCTAATAAGCTGTCCTCCCCCCCTCCTTGGGCAGGTATCACTTACCCTCTCCCCACCATTCCCAGTCACGATCCAGAACAAGGGAATTAATAGTTTATACCCTGAAAATGATGTTTGGCTCTGGGCATAAGACTGAGGCATCCCAAGCATACCTGGTGTAAAGTAAGAGGCTCGTAAATATCTATTGAACGAGTGAAAGAAGATATATATGTTTTCAGAGACCAGTGACTGGCTGGCGCAAGGACTCAAAACCAAGTCCTCTGAGGAAATGGAGATGCTTACTAAGTACAGGGAGAGCATGATAATTATTTTTAAAAGGCTGAAGATCTGCCATGTGGAAGATGGTTTAGACTTACTCTGTTGTACAAGGCAGAACGAAGGGAGGAGACACATTTCAGTTCAGTAGCAGCAAGAACTTTCTAGTGGTCAAGGCTGTTGCAGAGTGGACTGGGCCACCTCAAGGGAGAGGGAGCTGCCCTCCCCGCCCCAGTGAACTTCAACAGCTGTGCACAGTAACACTGGTAATTTGTCACTAAAAATAAAGGAGTGAGCTATAAGACCATGTACTTAAAAAGGAAGAAACTAGAGCAGGTTCAAAGTTATCTCTATAATGTTTTTCTCCTTTGCTTACATTCCAAAATACTTTTTGAGTGGAAGAAATAAGTGTAGGGTTAGAGCTAGTGCACTGGGAGCGTCTACAGGCATGTGGGGGCACGTGTGAATTTTTGTGGTGAACCCTTGGGCTACAAGGCCACTTAGTGTAGATTTTTTTCTTGGTGGTTGGGTGGGTGCCAATGTTGTAAAAATTACTTTAAAAATGTCTTTCCATCCTATGATTTTTGTTATCTAAGTATATACATATTTACTTGGTTCTTCCTTATGTAAATACTAAGAACATTAATGCTGTCAAAAAAGCTACACATTTTTTACGCTTTAACAGCTGGTAGTGAGGACTCCTCTGGCGGTCCAGTTAAGATTGCGTGCTTTGGGGCTTCCCTGGTGGCGCAGTGGTTGAGAATCTGCCTGCCGCTGCAGGGGACACGGGTTCGAGCCCTGGTCCGGGAAGATCCCACATGCCGTGGAGCGACTAAGCCCGTGCGTCACAACTACTGAAGCCAGTGCACCTAGAGCCCGTGCTCAGCAACAGGAGAAGCCACTGCAACGAGAAGCCCGCGCACCGCAACAAAGAGTGGCCCCCACTCGCTGCAACTAGAGAAAGCCCGCGCGTAGCAACAAAGACCCAATGCAGTCAAAAATAAATACAATAAATAAATTAAAAAAAAAAAAAAAAGATTCTGTGCTTCCACTGCAGGGGGCACAGGTTCGATCCCTGGTTGGGGAATTAGGATCCTGAATGCTGGATCCTGAATGCACAGCCAAAAAAAATTAAGGAAAAAAAAAACAAAGTTGGTAGGGGACAGATTTCATAGGCAACACTGGGGTGGTTGCAGTGTCTGTCTCCTCTCTGTATACATATCTATATGTATACATACATTTTAAAGTAAGCTAAAAAAATTAGTCATTATTTTTGATTAAGAGGTTTACAAAAAAAAAGCTTATTACAGATTTATTTTGGAAAAATTGATAAAACACATTATGGTTAAAGAACAGAATTTATAATAAAATGTTTAAAAGTGTATTTTCGCTCTTCCTTGGTTTGTCTGAGTTGGCTTGGCAGACTGTGCAGCTATGAAATATTCATATTTGCTGAATAAACGAATGACTGAATTGTTACTAATGTTCTCCCATAGTTCTCACACCAGAGGAGAAATTAGAAGATTGTTGGCTGCCCCAATTTGCATATTTGTATACAAAGTGAAGAAGAGGTAATCATATCTCTTTTCTTCCTCAGGGAGACACGATATAGAAACACAAATAAATAAAATGAACTAGCTATGTTACCCCCAATTTCAGATTTATATCATTTCTTTTCTCCCTTTCCTATTCATTTCCCCTGTCTCCTAAAATAAAGCTCACAGAGTAAATGATACTTACTGTCTGTGTAAATGAAGTTAAGACTGACCAATATGAGGAATGTCAAAAACGCTACTACATTTTTACATTAGAAATCATTAGCTAACAAACTTTTCTGGAAGAAAAATAACCATACACGTTCAGTTCTGTTGCTAACAGCTTAAGTCTCTTCAAATTGAACAGAGGTCAGAAGGGCCTATTATCGGCATTTTATTTAGCAGCTTATCCTTTTCTTGGAGAATATCTAAGTATTCAAGAAAGATAGCCAACTGGAGGGGGGAGGTTATTAGTATTAAAATGTCAAGAGTAGGTACTTTTGGCCAAAGTTTGGAGAAAGTGCTATGTTGAAAGATTTTACCTTAAAGAAATAAGTCTGGAAAGTTAGATTTTCTTTTTAAAACAGGGTAATAATACTTATATTTCATTTGTCTGCAATGTTAGTTTCTGAAGTGCTTTCTCTTACAGTCTCATTTTTTTGTCGGATATAATTCTAACATTTTCTCTAATTAAAAGTTGTAAAAAATAAACACTATATTCTATAAACATAAATATGAACATAACTCTTATTACATGGAAATCAGTCTGTGAATGACATGGGAAGGAATTTAGAGAATCAAATTCTTTAAGAAATGGAAATAAGCTAAGCGCCTATCTACCATTTAACTGTCATGTCTGTATTATTTGGTCTCATCGTTGTATTTGACACTAGCAACCATTTGCCCCCTCCTGCCTATAAGATCAGATTTCATCCGTCCTTTAGTTTCTGTCATCTTGGGTTCTCCTGGTTACCAGCCTCTCACTGCTCCTATTCAGTCTCCTCCAGTGACTCTTCTTCCTGAGCTCATTCAACCAACGAAGGCATTTTCTAAGGGCCTGTCCTTAAAGACTCTTTTTCAGTTTTTGAACAAACAATTTTGAATACCTTCCATGTCCCAGGAAGAGGGCTAAGAACACAACGATGAAGGATAGTAAACATGAGTCCTACTCTCAAGGAGCTTGCAGTCTGCTGGGGAGGAGATGACATTACAGAAAAAAATTTCAAAAAGAGTTATTTACAAATTTTGGTAAGTGCTATACAGGAAAAAAATATAGCATATATTAAGAGCAGTACAACAAGGGGACCTAACCCAGTCTGGAGGCTCTCAGAGGCAGTGTTGTCTGAGTAGTGATCTGAAGAATGTGCAAGTGGCAAAGTATGTGCGGAGACCCTATGTGGGGAGGGAGGATAACGTAATGATGGAAGATAAAGAAGGCCATCGTCAGGGATACAGCATGAGAAATGGAGGGGAAGAGGTAGTCAGTACATCACATAAGGCCCAGAGGCAAGCCCCTACACTCCACGGCTTCAAATCTCAGCTCCATGCCAAAGACCTCGTGACTATCCCAATTTGTTGGCACCAGTCCTAAACTTTTTTTGACTGCTGGTTGGATATTTACACAGGCATGTTTTCAAGTCACCTCAAACTCAACTCATTATCTTTTATCTGGACTACTGCAACGGTCTCCTAACTTGTTGTCCAGATGCAAACCCATCTACCCTAATCACCAGAAAGCAGGGTACACCACGTTCAAACTAGGAGCAGACAGTAACTAACTACATGGATCTATGAAAATCAATAGGACTGCAATAGTTCAATGCCCACGCAGTCTCAGAACTTAAGATTCCATTTGATTAATACTGCTTTGAGTAATAGCAAAAACAAACAAAATAAAACCCCCAAAACCCCAAGCAAATGAAAACCTTCCCAAATTCTTAAATATCAATATTTGATAAATACTGAAAATCGTGTAAGGTAAAAGTGAATCACTACAATTATTACATTAAAATACATGACAGGGACTTCCCTGGTGGCGCAGTGGTTAAGAATCTGCCTGCCAATGCAGAGGACATGGGTTCAATCCCTGGTCTGGGAAGATCCCACGTGCCACAAGCAACTAAGCCCATGTGCCACAACTACTGAGCCCACGCACCGCAACTACTGAAGCCCGTGCGCCTAGAGCCCATGCTCCGCAACAAGAGAAGCCACTGCAATGAGAAGCCTGCGCACGGCAGAGTAGCCCTCGCTAGCTGCAACTAGAGAAAGCCTGCGTGCAGCAACGAAGACCCAATGCAACCAAATAAATAAAAAATAAATTTATAATTAAAAAATAAATAAAATAAAATACATGACAGCATCATTTTAGAAAGTGCATAATTTATTACATATGAGTTAATAATAAAACGGATACTTGGGAACTTTAAAAATGAGTTACGAGTAACAGATGTAAAATTCTCAAATTCTGAAACCTGAAATATTAAAATTCAAGCAATTTCTTAAAACTCTTTCTCATGATTAGCATAGTTTGAAAACTGTTACGCTCTTCCAAGGGAAAAAGGAGGAATTAAAAAATAGACACGTTGATGAAGGCAATGAGTTCTTCCCAGCTGGCTTTATTCTCTACTGAAGCTCAATATAGGATTACCTTTTCTTTACTTACAGGAAGCTGTTCTGTTTTCCAATAACCCTCAAAACAGAATGGAAAATGCTTATGCAAAACGACACAAGCCTTAACCATTCTATGCAGGTTTTACCACTTTAATAAACTTCTAGTCCAACAGCTTTCCCAAGTATAAAGTTCTGTGAGTGAACTATGAATATTTTTAAATATTTTCCAGATTCATCATGGAGGCTGCTTTTCTTCTCTGTACTGTAATCGCACTGAGCTGCAATTGAAATAAACAATCAGTAAGTAGCTACTTTTTCTGTGGAAAAATCTTAGACTAATACAAAGTATAATGCATCACAACTTACAATTATTGAAAATAATCTTATTGTAAGGGGTCTTGTTAGAGGTCACTTTTTTTGTTCATTTCTCTTTTACTCTTGAGACTTTAAAATGCCTGTATTACCCTAGAGATTTGCATGTCAAATACGGCATTCCATAGCTCAGTGATACACTGAGAATTCCAAAACATATTTTACAAACGAATGAAAAACATTTAGATAAAAGTTCATCAGGAAAGAGGCTAGAACACAAACTAAGTGTGAGCCAGCACAATGCAGGGCTGGTAATAAAAAGATGATGACAGATCACAGTAAGTCTAATAAGAAAATAATCTTTAAATATTAAATTGGAATTGATAATACAGACACATGGTAAAAGATATCTAACAGTACAAAAGAGTATACAGCATAAAGGAAGTCTTCCCATCTCTGTCCTTCATTCCACATCCCTCTTTCCAGGCAAAACCACTATTCCCAGCTTCTAAGTATATTTCTTGAAATATTCTAAGTGAGAATACATGCACATATTTCCTCACCCTTTTTTATTTAAAAAATGATAAAGTACTATACACACTTTTCATATTTTTCTCCTGCTAAATGATCTACCTTAGAAATAGCTCCACATTAAATCTACTTTATTCCTCTTAACAGCTGCAGAATTTCCCGTGTATGGCTATCCCATAGTTTAACTGGTTTCCTATTGATGGGCATTTAGATGGTCTTTCATCTTTTAGAATTATAGGCAATGCTGCAATTAGTCTTTTTACGTGCTTCCTTGCACAAACTTGCCCAGGTGCAAGTACACTACCTGCAGAATAAATTCTTAGAACTGCTAGGTCCCAGGTTAGGTACGTTTACAACTGTTGAGAGATACTGCCAAGTTGGGTGCCAAAGAGGTTGTACCAATACCCACTCATGTCAGTGATGTGTGCAAGTGCCAGCACAATGTATTATCAACCTTCATGACCTGACAGGTAAAAAATAATATGTGATTACAGTTTAAGTCTCTATTTGCCTTTTGGGTGAGGAGGAGCTGGGCATTCAAAAAAAATGTTTAAAAGCCATCTGTCTTTTATCCTTTATTCACTTTATTGTACTGTAGCACTTTTTTTTTGTTGATTAGTCACTCTATGTGTGTTTAGGATACGAGCCTTTTGTCATATGTCTTGCAAATATTTTTCTCTTTTGTCACTGACTTTACGACTTTTCTCTGCAGAAATCTGAAATTTAAATAGTCACATTTATTAATTTCTTTTCATAGTTTCTAGGTTTTGTGTCCTGCAGAGAAGGGCTTCACCACACTGATTTTTTAAAATCCCATACCGTCAAAAGAACACAGTGTGGCATTCAATAGTTTAGAATGATACACTTGGAACATCTAACTGTTGGCCAGAGATGGATGAAGAAGATATAGAAAAAGTTAATCAGAACAGCACATTTCGAGCGTGGCTGAATGACTACACCGCAGGGCTTGTGCTGAAGCAATGACATGGTGCTTGGCTGCACTGGTAAGCATGACATGTGAGAGACAATAATCATCTTTTAATGCAGCGGTCTTTAACCGTTTTGGCACCAGGGTCTGGTTTTGTAGAAGACAGTTTTTCCACGGATGGGGGGAGGGGCGGGTGGTGGTTCAGGCGGTACTGCCAGCAATGGGGAGCGATGGGGAGTGGTGGGGAGCGATGGGGAGCGACGGGAAGTGACGGGGAGCGATGGGGAGCGATGGGAGCGACGGGGAGCGGTGGGGAGCGACGGGACGCAACGGGGAGCGATGGGGAGCGACGGGGAGCGACGGGAAGCGACAGAGACCGATGGGGAGCGATGGGGAGCGACGGGGGGCGACGGGGGGCGACGGGGAGCGGTGGGGAGCAATGGGGAGCAGCAGGTGAAGCTTCACTTACTCGCCTGCTGCTCACCTCCTGCTGTGCGGCCCAGTTCCAGGGGTTGGGGATTCCTGTTTTAACGCCTTTACTTCATTAAATATCAAGCCCTTCCCAGGATATCATTTTTAACAGGAGTTTCCAGTTTTTGGAAGAAAATGGGAAAATTAGAAAGGATTCAGAGAAGGCAAAGATAAAGATTAAAAAAGACTGAATATATGTCTTATAAAAAAGTTTATGACTTGGACACATTTAAAATAGAAAAAAAAATTAACTCCAGGGAATAAATTCCTTTTTGTGTATGGGGAAAATGCTGAATGATTACTTTCCATCTTCAAATGAGAACAGAATGGAAGGAAAAAAACTTAGGGAAAAATCTGTGAAGTGGTTACTGACAAACATTAAAAAGAAGGCTCACAAGGAGAATGGTGTAATCTCTGCCATTAGGGAGTTTAAATAACAGGAGAAACATCTTTGCTGGACTGCTTAGGTTTAATTCTGTCACGAAGGAGACAACTAGAAGTCAACTGGATTATATCGTTAAGGTTCTGTAGCTGTACCCTTGTGCAGGTAGTTGATTTCAGGTAGGCATTTTCTTTACCACAGTCCTTGAAAAAGGTAAACTTGAACCTTTAAAGGCTGTGATAGAGAAATTTAATTTCTATATATAAGTATCTTATTTACCACTTAATGACTATGCTAAGTGCTTTGTATGTGCTAATTACTTTGATCTTTCAATAACTCTGTTGGGGAGGCGTTATTATCCTACGTTAAACATGAAGGAACTGAGGCTTAGAGAAGATGAAACTGCCCAAAGTCACATGGCTACTTAATGGCACCAGGCTATCTGCCTGACTCCAAAATACCTCCTCTTATGATACCGTCCCATACACCTTGGCTCCTGTTACCTTATAATCTAAATGAATTCTTGAATAACTAATTAATTCATCCAGTAATCCATAATTTCATAAGAAGTTAAACTTACATGGTAAAACTATAATTACTTTCAAGAGGCAGGAAAATTGAAGGGCAAATTATGATTGGATTTTCTTTAAGTGCTATGCCATGTTCATACCACAAGTAGATTTCAAAAAAAAATCTATAAACATCATGAACACAAACTGAATTCAGTATTTAGAGTTAGTCACTGCTGTAATAAAATCTAAGAATAATGTTGATTTTGATTGAAACAGTACCAAATATTATATAATTATTAATACAGTAACTCGGTTTGTTTTTCTCTATCTATCTATCTAAACAGTCTGTTTCAAGCCTATCTTTATAATCACTAAACTCTTTTCATTTTGATCCTAACAGGAGAGACTACTGCTCCTACTTTAGAACAAATGGCCCATTTCATTTATGTGATACGTGTGCATTAGGAGTAATTGCCCCTTATAATTTCATTGATGTTCTGCACTTTTTACTCTATTTCCCATTGGACAACTTTTATATGGTATTTTAGATTTATATGGTCATATACAAATGTGCATTAAATGAAGTTAAACCTATAAGCTAGGTAATTTTTTTCCATTTAAAAACTGCAATAAAAACACTGCAATTTGAAACACTACATTCAAAGCATGTCATTTACTTCCGAATCTGTCAATGAATACCTGCCTAGTTTTAGACAGAACATAATGCTAGAGCAGTGCTGTCCAACAGAACTTACTGGGGTGACAGAGTTGTTCTATATTACGCTGTCCAATATGACATGGCTACATGTGACTTTTGAGCATTTGAAATCTGAATAGTGTGGCTGAAGATTTCAATTTTAATTTTATTTAATTTTAATTTAAACAGCTGCCTGTGGTTAGCAGCTATCATATTGGACAGTGCAGTTCCAGATTTAGGTGTCAAATGGCAGAGACCGATGTTTATTTCTGTTTCTGAAGTTTACTTTTTCAACCGTAAACATTAAAGAGACTAATTTTAAGTAGTTTAATCAAATAAAAATAAAACTACTAGTTCTCTGGAAACTTCTAAGGAACTTTTCTTATCTCCACTCTACTCAGACTATTGTTATCCAGGGATAACGAGGAAGCTCCCTACCTGCTGGGAGGCTGAAGCAGCTCTCTGTTCCGCCTCACTTAGTCGTTTCTGAAGTCTGTTGGATTTTTCTTGATGCTCTACAATCAACTTTTCATTCTATTAAGGGGAAATATAAGACAAACAAGTTAGAAATCCATATGTGGCACGGAGATGTTTTATGGAATAGTCAATGAAAAATCTGGACATCATTTTACCACTTACAAAATGCAAAGATAATATGTCTCCAAATTTACATTTTTCAAGTCATGAACTTCAAGGTTCAAAGCTGGTTTTACTTTATGACTAAACTGGTTCCCCTCCCCTGACCCTCCACCACATGCCACCAAAGAAAGTGAATTAAATCTAAAAGCAAAGCGAATCTGAAGTTAAGACCAAGGCTTTCAGTTTGTGATTTGTTAACCTTGAGATGCTATATCACTACTTTGGAATCACCCGGAGGGTGTGAGAACACAGACCTGAGCCTCACAACCAGAGCAGCAGTAGGGGTGGGAAGGTCCTGAGAATCTGAACTTCTATCAAGTTCTTGGGTGGTGTCGATGCTGTCTGCTAGCGCATTTAGAACCACTGTGCTAGACAAGCTTCCAGGGGAACTGTGACATAGTCTACGCATTATTAAGGTCAAGAAACAGAAAATATTCATTCTAGAAATCCTGATTTTTACAGAGCTAGACTTATCTTAAATGATTTATATGCTTACGGTATTATTTAAAAGGGGAAGAAATCAGTCTACATGTTTCCCAATACATGTGTATACTCCAGAAGGTATTCTCCAGAAGGTATTAGGGTCAATAGCATTATTAAGGCATTGGTATGGGTTGCATTATGTCCCTAAAAAAAAGATGTTGAAGCCCCAACCCCCTAGTACTTATGAATGTGACCTTATTTGGAAATAGGGTCTTTGTTGATGATTAAGTTGAAGTCATTAGGGTGGGTCCATATCCAGTATGACTGGTGACTTCATAAAAAGGGGAAATTTGGACAAAGAGACAGACATGCACAAAGGGAAGAACACATGAAGACACAGGGAGAACATTATCAACAAGACGGGGAATGCCTGAGGCCACCAGAAGCTAGGAAGGAGGCCTGGAAAAGATTCTCCCTCGGAAGGAACCAATTCTGCTGTCTTCTTGATTTTGGACTACTGGCTTCCAGAACTGCGAGACAGTAAGTTTCTGTTGGTTAAGCCACCCCAGTCTGTATTACTTTGTTAGAGCAGCCTCAGGCAACTACATAGGCATCATGAATATAAATCTGTCACAACATGGTGTCATGCAGACAAGTTAAAAGAATCTATCAATTAAAAAATGTATTAGCCTTCTCCATACAAACTAGCCTAAAAAAACGTTTTTGCACATGTAAAACTGTTATACAGTTCTTTGAACTAGGTACTTCCCATGTCATAACATACAAGTGATAAGAATGAATGTCATGCCTAGTAATACAAAATACTGAACTAACAGTGTCCTGCTAAAATGTGCTTATTCTATTTCTTAGTGTGCCCAAAAGCAAAATTAAATTGTATGAAGAGAACTATATTGGCTTTTCCAATTTACCAAGATGTTTAAATACGTAGTCTTAAATTTAAGAGACACATCATTAACACTAGAGAAAACCTGAGGAAAAACTGCCATCATCTATAATAATCATTTTCATAGTTATAATCAGACTATATATACATTTTACTATGCTGCTACCATAATGGTTAGGGCACAGTACAGCTTAGATAAAACATAATATATGCAACTGTTCTTTTTTAATTGATCATTTTAGTTGCTTTTGAGCTTCCAAAATAATTAACATTACTGTGTTGAATATTTCCCTTTAAATTTTTTCAAATTTTAAATTATTTCCTTAGAACAGATTCCTGGAAGTGGGAGCACATCAAAGAGTTTTTGAAAGGCTACTGTTTAATTGTTTTCTAAATGGCTCATGTCAATTTACAATGCTATAAAACTGAAGTGTAATGACTTCACTATGGCTCCTACAGAAGGCCACAGAGACCTAGTGGACCATACAGCCTGTTAATGAAATTCCAACAAATACCTTCGAAGTTTGCTCATCAAACAAAGAACTAGAGTTCTAGAAAGTTCTAATAATAATCTGGAAATTGTTTAAATTTTTTTCTTCAAAGGAAAAAAAAATGATAAACCCTTGCTATATTTAGTTCTAAAGCATTAATCTAAAGGAATGTTTTAATATATTCCAGTAGGAAAAAGTATTTTCTACATGTCTTTTGTGATGGACTAAAACAAAATTGGAGGAGGATCTTCAAGACGATGGTGGAGTAAGACGTGGAGATCACCTTCCTCCCCACAAATACATCAAAAATACATCTACATGTGGAAAAATTCCCACAGAACACCTACTGAATGCTGGCAGAAGAAATTAGACTTCCGAAAAGGCAGGAAAATCCCCATGTACCTGGCCATGTGGCTGACAGGGTCTTGGTGCTCTGGCCGGGTGTCAGGCCTGAGCTACTGAGATGGGAGAGCCGAGTGCAGGATACTGGACCACCAGAGACCTCCCAGCCCCATGTCATATCAATCGGCAAGAGCTCTCCCAGAGATCTCCGCCTCAACGCTAAGACCGAGCTCCACTCAACAACCAGCAAGCTCCAGTGCTGGACATGGCATGCCAAAAAACTAGTAAGACAGTACACAACCCCATCCATTAGCAGAGAGGCTGCCTAAAATCATAGTAAGTTCACAGATACACCAAAACACACCACTGGACAAGGCCCTGCCCACCACAAAGACAAGATCCAGCCCAACCCACCAGAACATAGGCACCAGTCCCCTCCACCAGGAAGCCTACACAACCCACTGAACCAACCTTAACCACTGGGGGCATACACCAAAAATAACGGGAACTACGAACCTGCAGCCGGTAAAAAAGAGACCCCAAACAGTAAGTTAAGCAAAATGAGAAGACAGAGAAATATGCAGCAGATGAAGGAGCAAGGTAAAAACCCACCAAACCAAACAAATGAAGAGGAAATAGGCAGTCTACCTGAAAAAGAATTCAGAGTAATGATAGTGAAGATGATCTAAAATCTTGGAAATAGAATGGAGAAAATACAGGAAACATTTAACAAGGACCTAGAAGAACTAAAGAGCAAAAAACGATGAACAACACAATAAATGAAATTAAAAATTCTCTAGAAGGAATCAATAGCAGAATAACTGAGGCAGAAGGACGGATTAGTGACCTGAAAGATAAAAGAGAGGAAATAACTACTGCAGAGCAGAATAAACAAAAAAGAATGCAAAGAATTGAGGACAGACTCAGAGACCTCTGGGACAACATTAAAAGAAAGAACATTCGATTTATAGGGCTCCCAGAAGAAGAGAAAAATAAAAAGGACTGAGAAAATATTTCAAGAGATTATAGTTAAAAACTTCCCTAATATGGGAAAGGAAACAGCCAATCAAGTCCAGGAAGTGCAGAGTCCCAAACAGGATAAATCCATGAAGAAACACAACAAGACACATATTAATCAAACTATCAAAAATTAAATACAAAGAACAAATATTAAAGAAGCAAAGGAAAAGCAACAAATAACATACAAGGGAAACGCTATAACCTTAACACCTGATCATTCAGCAGAAACTCTGCAAGCCAGAAGGGAGTGGCAGGACATATTTAAAGTTATGAAAGAGAAAAACCTACATCCAAGATTACTCTACCTAGCAAGGAGCTCATTCAGATTTGATGGAGAAATTGAAAACATTACAGACAAGAAAAAGCTAAGAGAATTCAGCACCACTAAACAAGCTTTACAACAAATGTTAAAGGAACTTCTCTAGGCAGGAAAAACAAGACAAGGAAAAGACCTACAATAACAAACCCAAAACAATTAAGAAAATGGTAATAGGAACAACGATATTGAGGACTACCTTAAATGTAAATGGATTAAATACTCCAATCAAAAGACACAGACTGCCCAAAAGGATACTAAAACAAGACCCATATATATGCTGTCTACAAGAGAGCCACTTCAGACCTAGGGACACATACAGACTGAAAGTGAGGGGACAGAAAAAGATGTTCCATGCAAATGGAAATCAAAAGAAAGCTGGAGTAGCAATTCTCATATCAGACAAAACAAGACTTTAAAATAAAGACTATAACAAGAGAAAAAGAAGGACCCTACATATGATTAAGGGATCAATCCAAGAAGAAGATATAACATTTGGAAATATTTATGCACCCAACATAGAAGCACCCCAATACATAAGGCAAATGCTAACAGCCATAAAAGGGGAAATCAACAGTAGCAAAATAATAGTAGGGGACTTTAACACCTCACATTCACCAATGGAATGAACAACGAAAATGAAAATCAATAAGGAAACAAAAGTTTTAAATGACACATTAAAAAAGATGGACTTAATTGATATTTATAGGACATTCCATCCAAAAACAACAGAACACACTTTCTTCTCAAGTGCTCATGGACCATTCTCCAGGATAGACCATATCCTGGGTCACAAATCAAGCCTTGGTAAACTGAAGAAAATTGAAATAGTATCAAGTATCTTTTCCAACCACAATGCTATAACACTAAATATCAATTTCAGGAAGAAAACTGCAAAAAATACAAACATATGGAGGCTAAACAATACGCTACTAAATAACCTAGAGATCACTGAAAAATATCAAAGAGGAAATCAAAAAATACCTAGAAACAAATGACAATGAAAACATGATGACCCAAAACCTATGGGATGCAGCAAAAGCAGTCCCAAGAGGGAAGCTTATAGCAACACAATCCTACCTCAAGAAACAAAAAAAATATCAAAAAACCAACCTAACCTTACACCTAAAGCAATTTGAGAAAGAAGAACAAGAAACACCCCCAAACTTAGCAGAAGGAAGGAAATCATAAAGATCAGAATAGTAATAAATGAAAAAGAAATGAAGGAAACCATAGCAAAGATCAATAAAACTAAAAGCTGTTTCTTTGAGAAGAAAAACAAAATTGATAAACCATTAGCTAGACTCATAAAGAAAAAAAAGGAGAAGACTCAAATCAACAGAATTAGAAATGAAAAAGGAGAAGTAACAACTGACACTGCAGAAATACAAAGGATCATGAGAGATTACTACAAGCAACTCTATGCCAATAATGGACAACCTGGAAGAAATGGACAAATTCTTAGAAAAACACAACCTTCCAAGACTGAAGCAGGAAGAAAGAGAAAATATAAACAATAATCACAAGCACTGAAATTGAAACTGTGATTAAAAATCTTCCAACAAACAAAAGCCCAGGATCAGATGGCTTCACAGGCGAATTCTGTCAAACACTTAGAAAAGAGCTAACACCTATCCTTCTCAAACTCTTCCAAAATATAGCAGAGGGAGGAACACTCCCAAACTCATCCCACGAGGCCATCATCACCCTGATACCAAAACCAGAGAAAGATGTCACAAAAAAAGAAAACTACAGGCCAGTAGCACTGATGAACACAGATATAAAAATCCTCAACAAAATACTAGCAAACAGAATCCAACAGCACATTAAAATGATCATACACCATGATCAAGTGGGGTTTATCCCATGAATGAAAGGATTCTTCAATATACACAAATCATTCAATGTGATAAACCACATTAACAGAAGGATAAAAACCATATTATCATCTCAATAGATGCAGATAAAGCTTTTGAGACAATTCAACATCCATTCATGATAAAAACTCTCCAGAAAGTAGGCATAGAGGGAACTTATCCCAACATAATAAAGGCCATATATAACAAACCCACAGCCAACATCCTTCTCAGTGGTGAAAAATGGAAACCATTTCCACTAAGATCAGGAATAAGACAAGGTTGCTCACTCTCACCACTATTATTCAACACAGTTTTGGAAGTTTTAGCCATAGCAATCAGATAAGAAAAAGCAATAAAAGGAATCCAAATTGGAGAAGAAGAAGTAAAACTGTCACTGTTTGCAGATGACAGGATCCTATACATAGAGAATCCTAAAAGTGCTACCAGAAAACTACTAGAGCTACTCAATGAATCTGGTAAAGTAGCAGGATACAAAATTAATGCACAGAAATCTCTTGCATTCCTATACACTAATGAGGAAAAATCTGAAGGAGAAATAAGGAAATACTCCCATTTACCACTGCAACAAAAAGAATAAAATACCTAGGAATAAACCTATCTAAGGAGACAAAACACCTGTATGCAGCAAAGTATAAGATACTGATGAAAGAAATTAAAGATGATACAAACAGATGAAGAGATATACCATGTTCTTGGATTGGAAGAATCAACATTGTGAAAATGACTGCACTATCCAAAGCAATCAACTGATTGAATGCAATCCCTATCAAACTACCAATGGCATTTTTAACAGAATTAGAACAAAAAATTTCACAAATTTTATGGAAACACAAAAGACCCCAAATAGCCAAAGCCATCTTGAGAAAGATAAATGGAGCTGGAAGAATCACGCTGACTATAGACTATACTACAGACTATATTATAGACTATAGTAGACTATACTACAAATCTACAGTAATCAAGACAGTATGGTACCGGCACATAAACAGAAATATAGATCAATGGAAAAGGATAGAAAGCCCAGAGATAAACCCATGCACAGATGGTCACCTATCTTTGATAAAGGAGGCAAGAAAAGACAGCCTCTTCAGTAAGTGGTGCTGGGCAAACTGGACAGCTACATGTAAAAGAATGAAATTAGAACACTCCCTAACACCATACATAAAAATAAACTCACAATGGATTAAAGACGTAAATGTAAGCCCAGACACTGTAAAACTATTAGAGGAAAACATAAGCAGAACACTCTGTGACATAAATCACAGCAAGATCTTTTTTGACCCACCTCCTAGAGAAATGGACATAAAAACAAAAATAAACAAATGGGACCTAATGAAACTTCAAAGCTTTTGCACAGCAAAGGAAGCCATAAACAAGATGAAAAGACAACCCTCAGAATGGGAGAAAATATTTGCAAATGAAGCAACTGACAAAGGATCAGTCTCCGAAATACACAAGCAGCTCAAACAGCTCAGTATCAAAAAAACAAACAACCGGGCTTCCCTGGTGGCGCAGTGGTTGAGAGTCTGCCTGCCAATGCAGGGGACATGGGTTCGAGCCCTGGTCTGGGAAGATCCCACATGCCGCGGAGAGACTGGGCCCGTGGGCCACAGCTACTGAGCCTGCGCGTCTGGAGCCTGTGCTCCGCAACAGGAGAGGCCACAGCAGTGAGAGGCCCGCGCACCGCGATGAGGAGTGGTCCCCGCTCGCCGCAACTGGAGAGAGCCCTCGCGCGGAAATGAAGACCCAGCACAGCCAAAAATAAATAAATAAAATAATAAAATAAATAAATTTAAAAACAAACAAACAAACAAACAAACAACCGAATCCAAAAATGGGCAGAAAACCTAAATAGACATTTCTCCAAAGAAGATATACAGATTGCCAACAAATACATGAAAGGATGGTCAACATCACTAATCACTAGAGAAATGCAAATCAAAACTAAAATGTGGTATCGCCTCACACTGGTCAGAATGGCCATCATCAAAATATCTACAAACAATAAATGCTGGAGAGGGTGTAGAGAAAAGGAAACCCTCTTGCAGTGTTGGTGGGAGTGTAAATTGATATAGCCACTATGGAGAACAGTATGGAGGTTCCTTAAAAAACTAAAAATAGAACTATCATATGACCCAGCAATCCCACTACTGGGCATATACCCTGAGAAAACCATAATTCAAAAAGAGTCATGTACCGCAATGTTCACTGCAGCACTATTTACAACAGCTAGGACATGGAAGCAACCTAAATGTCCATCGATAGATGAATGGATAAAGATGATGTGGCACATATATACAATGGAATATTACTCAGCCATAAAAAGAAACCAAATTGAGTTATTTGTAGTGAGGTGGATGAATTTAGAGTCTGTCCTACAGAGTGAAGTAAGTCAGAAAAACAAATACCGTATGCTAACACGTATATATGGATTCTAAAAAAAAAACTGGTTCTGATGAACCTAGGGGAGGGACAGGAATAAAGACACAGATGAAGAGAATGGAGTTGAGGATATGGGGAGGGGGAAGGGTAAGCTGGGACGAAATGAGAGAGTGGCACTGACAGATATACACTACCAAATGTAAAATAGATAGCAAGTAGGAAGCAGCCGCACAGCACAGGGAGACCAGCTCAGTGCTTTGTGACCACCTAGATGGGTGGGATAGGAGGGTGGGAGGGAGACGCAAGAGGGAGGGGGTATGGGGATATATGTATATGTATAGCTGATTCAGTCTGTTATATAGCAGAAACTAACACAAAAATGTAAAGCAATTATACTCCAATAAAGATGTTAAAAAAAAATTAGAGGAATTGGGTTAAAAAAAAGTCTTAGACATGCACAGAAATAAAGGGGATCCTAACAATTCTGAAAAAGCACAAGGTATACTGGTGAAACTGAAATAAGAGCTCTATCTTTGTCATTTAAATATGATGAATCACTAGCTTTCAAAGCTTTTATTCATATTATATTAAGTGTGCACTTTTAGGGTTATGTATGATTTCTACAAGAAATACTCACATCCGTATGGTATTTCCAAGTTGAGAATTAATTTGGACTTGGTTCAGGTAAAATTCTATAACGTGTGTATCAACCTGCAGCAGAAAGCACTTCCCAGGAGGGTCATTATCTTACCTCAACTACCTTTTCATTTGCCATTTCCAGCTGAGAAAGCAGCTCTTGGGTATGAAGTTTCTGTCGACTCAGCTCACTCCTATTAATCAAGAGACAAGGAAGGAAAAAAAAAAAAGAATGGAAGAAAAAGCCATTAATATAGCTGTTCAAAAATTTAACAAAATCGAATCTTTATTAGTGAGATACATGTTCATGTTTTGAACAAAAATATCTTGTGTGCAAAATAAAAGTTGCTTCTTAATAGACCATATCTGAAACGACTCATTTCTTTATAAAATACATATATATTCTGGACATTGGTTGTACAATAGTGTGAAAATACTTAGCACTATTGAGCTGTTCACTTAAAATGAATGGAAAACTTCCAGGTGGGTGAACACGTGGAAATTTGGGCAGAGCTTTGGGCCTGGAGAGGGTAAAGATGCTCCGTACCCCTCTCCCATGCCTGGCCCTATGCATCTCGTCCATTTGATGTTCATGTGTATCTTTTATCATAACCTGTAATAAACTGCTAAACGAAAAAGAAGACAGCAATAATAGTAACAACAGAGAAATATTCTGCATGATAAAAAGCCATCTCTTGGCTGGCAAGGACCAAAGTATTCTACCCCTGGGAAGCCTGTTTTGCATTTGCAGCAAGAGGGCATTGAGGACCCCTCAAGAATACACCACTTGAGCTTAGTTACGCCTGTGCAGAAGGACAACTTCTGCACCTTTTTCCAATCCCTGCATGCCTCACACTCACCACACCTCAGACTGCTGTACTTTTTTATTCTTTATTCCCAAAATAGCTTGAGCCCCTTGTCTTCAGGGAGGCAAATCTGAGACTGGTTATCCTGTCGCTTGGCTGCTTACTGAATAAGCCCTCTGTTTGTTGCAAACCTCGAAAACTCAGTGTTCTGGTTGCTACCTGTCAGGCAAAACCAAGCAGGCTCGGTAACGTCAGGAGATCACAAATGAATTCATCTAGAGAACTGACAAATCTGTCAAAAAGAGTTGGCTCTTGAGAGAAGATTTGTTTCCGTGGCAGCCCTGCGGCTGACAGGGTATTGGTGCTCTGGCCTAGTGTGAGGCCTGAGCTTCTGAGGTGGGAGAGCTGAGTTCAGGACACTGGACCACCAGAGACCTCCTGGCCCCACGTAATATCAATCTGCAAGAGCTCTCCGAGAGATCTCTGTCTCAACGCTAAGACCCAGCTCCACCCAACGACCAGCAAGCTCCAGTGCTGGATGCCACATGCCAATCAACTAGCAAGACAGGAACACAACCGCACCCATTGGCAGAGAGGCTGACTAAAATCATAATAAGTTCACAGACACCCAAAACACACCACCAGACGCAGCCCTGCCCACCACAAAGACAAGATCCAGCCCCACCCACGGGAAAACAGGCACCAGTCCCCTCCACCAGGAAGCCTACACAACCCACTGAAACAACCTTACCCACTGGGGGCAGACACTAAAAACAACGGGAACTACGAACCTGCAGCCTGCGAAAAGAAGATCGCAAACACAGTAAGTTAAGCAAAATGAGAAGACAGAGAAATATGCAGCAGATGAAGGAGCAAGGTAAAAACCCACCAGACCAAACAAATGAAGAGAAAATAAGCAGTCTACCTGAAAAAGAATTCAGAGTAATGATGGTGAAGATGATCCAAAATCTTGGAAATGGAATGGAGAAAATATAAAAAACGTTTAACAAGGACCTATAAGAACTAAACAGCAAACAAACAATGATGAACAACACAACAAATGAAATTAAAAATTCTCTAGAAGGTTCAATAGTAGAATAACTGAGGCAGAAGAACAGATAAGTGACAGGTGAGACAAAATACTGGAAATAGCAACTGGAGTACAGAATAAAGAATGAAAAGAATTGAGGACAGTCCCAGAGACCTCTGGGAAAACATTAAATGCAACAACATTCGAATTATAGGAGTACCAGAAGAAGAAGAGAAAAAGAAAGGGACTGAGAAAATATTTGAAGAGATTATAGTTGAAAACTTCCCTAACATGGGAAAGGAGATAGTCAGTCAAGTCCAGGAAGTGCAGAGAGTCCCATACAGGATAAATCCAAGGAGAAACACAAGAAGACACATAACAATCAAACTATCAAAAATTAAGTACAAAGAAAAAATACTAAAAGAAGCAAGGGAAAAGCAACAAATAACATACAAGGGAATCTCTGTAAGGTTAACAGCTGATTTTTCACCAGAAACTCTGCAAGCCAGAAGGGAGTGGCAGGACATATTTAAAGTGATAAAAGGGAAAAATCTACAACCAAGATTACTCTACCCAGCAAGGATCTCATTCAGATTTGGCGGAGAAATTAAAACCTTTACAGCCAAGCAAAATTTAAGAGAGTTCAGCACCAGCAAACCAGCTTTACAACAAATGCTAAAGGAACTTCTCTAGGCAGGAAAAACAAGACAAGGAAAGACCTACAATAACAAACTCAAAACAATTAAGAAAATGGTAATGGGAACATACATATTGAGAACTACCTTAAATGTAAATGGATTAAATGCTCCAATCGAAAGACACAGACTGCCCGAAAGGATATTAAAACAAGACCCGTATATATGCTGTCTACAAGGGACCCACTTCAGGCCTAGGGACACATACAGACTGAAAGTAGGGTATGGAAAAAGATATTCCATGCAAATGGAAATCAAAAGAAAGCTGCAGTAGCAATTCTCATATCAGACAAAACTAGACTTTAAAATAAAGACTATAACAAGAGAAAAAGAAGGACCCTACATAATGATTAAGGGATCAATGCAAGAAGAAGATATAACAATTGTAAATATTCATGCACCCAACACAGGAGCACCCCAATACATAAGGCAAATGCTAACAGTCATAAAAGGGGAAATCGACAGTAGCACAATAATAGTAGGGGACTTTAACTCCTCACATTCAACAATGGACAGATCAACCAAAATGAAAATCAATAAGGAAACACAAGCTTTAAATGACACATTAAAAAAGATGGACTTAATTGATATTTATAGGACGTTCCATCCAAAAACAACAGAACACACTTTCTTCTCAAGTTCTCACGGACCATTCTTCAGGATAGATCATATCTTAGGTCACAAATCAAGCCTTGGTAAATTGAAGAAAACTGAAATTGTATCAAGTATCTCTTCCGACCACAATGCTATGAGAGTAAATATCAATTACAGGAAAAAAACTGTAAAAAATACAAATATATGGAGGCTAAACAATATGCTACTAAATAACCAAGAGATCACTGAAGAAATCAAAGAGGAAATCAAAAAGTACCTAGAAACAAATGACAATGAAAACACAATGACCCAAAACCTATGGGATGCAGCAAATCAGTTCTAAGAGGGAAGTTTATAGCAATACATTCCTACCTCAAGAAACAAGAAAAATCTCAAAAAAAACAACCTAACCTTACACCGAAAGCCATTAGAGAAAGAAGAACAAAAAACCACCAAAGTTAGCAGAAGGAAGGAAATCATAAAGATCAGAATAGAAATAAATGAAAAAGAAATGAAGGAAACCATAGCAAAGATCAATAAAACTAAAAGCTGGTTCTTTGAGAAGAAAAACAAAATTGATAAACCATTAGCAAGATCGTCAAGAAAAAAACGGAGAAGACTCAAATCAACAGAATTAGAAATGAAAAAGGAGAAGTAACAACTGACACTGCAGAAATACAAAGGATCATGAGACATTACTATAAGCAACCATATGCCAATAAAATGGACAACCTGGAAGAAATGGATAAATTCTTAGAAAAACACAACTTTCCAAGACTGAAGCAGGAAGAAAGAGAAAATATAAACAGAACAATCACAAGCACTGAAATTGAAACTGTGATTAAAAATCTTCCAACAAACAAAAGCCCAGGATCAGATGGCTTCACAGGCGAATTCTGTCAAAAACTTAGAGAAGAGCTAATACCTATCCTTCTCAAACTCTTCCAAAATATAGCAGAGGGAGGAACACTCCCAAACTCATCCCATGAGGCCACCATCACCCTGATACCAAAACCAGAAAAAAAGGTCACCTAAAAGGCAAATTACAGACCAATATCACTGATGAACGCAGATATAAAAATCCTCAACAAAATACTAGCAAACAGAATCCAACAGCACATTAAAATGATCATACACCATGATCAAGTGGGGTTTATCCCAGGAATGCAAGGATTCTTCAATATACGCAAATCAATCAATGTGAAACACCATATTAACAAACTGAAGGATAAAAACCATACTAAAATCTCAATAGGTGCAGAAAAAGCTTTTGACAAAATTCAACACCCATTTATGATAAAAACTCTCCAGAAAGTAGGCATAGAGGGAACTTATCTCAACATAATAAAGGCCATATATAACAAACCCACAGCCAACATCCTTCTCAGTGGTGAAAAATGGAAACCATTTCCACTAAGATCAGGAACCAGACAAGGTTGCCTACTCTCACCACTATTATTCAACATAGTTTTGGAAGTTTTAGCCACAGCTATCAGAGAAGAAAAAGAAATAAAAGGAATACAAATTGGAAAAGAAGTAAAGCTGTCACTGTTTGCAGATGACATGATACTATACATATAGAATCCTAAAAATGCTACCAGAAAACTACTAGAGCTAATCAATGAATCTGTTAAAGTAGCAGGATACTAAATTAATGCACAGAAATCTCTTGCATTCGTATACACTAATGATGAAAAATCTGAAAGAGAAATTAAGGAAACACTCCCATTTACCATTGCAACAAAAAGAATAAAATACCTAGGAATAAACCTATCTAAGGAGACAAAACACCTGTATGCAGAAAACTATAAGACACTGATGAAAGAAGTTAAAGATGATACAAACAGATGGAGAAATGTATCATGTTCTTGGATTGGAAGAATCAACATTGTGAGAATGACTCTATTAACCAAAGCAATCTACAGATTGAATGCAATCCCTATCAAACTACCAATGGCATTTTTCACAGAACTAGAAAAAAAAAATTAACAAATTTTACAGAAACACAAAAGACCCCAAACAGCCAAAGAATTCTTGAGAAAGACAAACACAGCTGTAGGAATCAGGCT